TAATCAATGGAAGAAGAGGGTGAATTGCAGAGACAGTGTCAATGATGCCATCAAGCGAGCCTGCTGCAGCCTGCTCATATTACATGTATATATGAAAATTAGTATTCTTATGTCAAACTCCCTTTTAAAATTGAAGCATAGTTGATTGATTGGTCGAGGTATAAAGTCAAAAGTCATAATATTCACCTGCATTTGGTCAGGGTCACGACTAACCAAAAATGAGTCCGCACCCAAACGCCCAATTGCTTCTTGTTTCTTACTAGCAGATGTACTAATAACAGTCACTTTTGTTCCGAATGCCTTAGCAAATTTCACAGCCATATGACCAAGACCACCAAGACCAACAACACCAATGTGCATTCCAGGTTTATCGAGTCCAAAATATTTCAAAGGACTATATGTTGTAATTCCAGCACATAACAATGGAGCCGCTTCCATTGGCAAGTTCTCAGGCCAGTGAACCACGTAGTGCTCGTCCGTTACCATAATATTGGAGTATCCTCCATACGTGGTGGTTCCATCGATGTAAATACCGTTGTATGTCATTATCTGACCGGGACAGTAATTCTCGAGATTATTGTCACAGTTTTCACATTTGCGACATGATCCTACCAAACATCCAACTCCTACTTTGTCACCAACCTTAAATTTCTCAACCTTGCTACCAACATCAGTTACCACACCAGCAACCTCATGCCTGTAACAAGTGACAATTAATGACAAAAATCGATGTATTAGCATCCAAAACATAACATGTGATTAAGTTTCAATTTACAGTTGCTAGAATAAGGTATAAATGAATGGCTCCCCATCGCTATTAGCTAGAAAAGGCCAACACAAAGAAAAATGAGATAGTACCAGTTTTTGGTTTCTACCATCCTAGCGTGTCAATTTGTTGGTAAAAGTATTAGAATGCCCTGTTACGTTTCTTGCTATAAAATATATTATCTTGCAATTTCATCTCTTGAAAAAGATATCTGCATATTTAATTATAACCCAATCTTTCTCATTCCATTAAAGAACTCTTAACATGGAACCATTTGCCAAGACAGAAACTTTAATTTCTCGTAAATCCTAAATTTGGTTAATTTTATGTAGAACCTTTCATATATCAATCATAAAAACATATGACAAAAGGAAAAGTACATATTTGCAAGAGTTTAATTTCAATTAATCGACGGCGGAAGCTTTTTAGTGAAGAAAAGTCTATGTCGCCCGATATGGCACCTATCTTAAATCTATATTGTGACGCACTTGATTACCTTTTGTGGCGAGCTTAGTCGCCGCCAAAAGTTAATAATAAGAAAATTAGATTTTGTGGCGGCTTAGTTCGCCTCAAAAGGTAAATGATGTGCCACAAATAAATTTAGGACAGGATGCAACCTGCGATATACACGTTTGGTGGCGACTAACCGACGTCGCCGCAGAAGGTCGTCACTAAAATCCTTTTAGCTAAATGTATACGGTAAATATTAGAAACCTGGTAAAAAAAGTTAGTAATTCACATGTTACCACAAGTTAGATTACACAACTTTATACGTCAGCATGTACCACTTAAATTCATATTCAAATAAATAAATGAAAAGTAAGAAAATGGAAACTAACCCAGGTACCATTGGATATATGCTAGTGCTCCATTCATTC